TAAAGGACTGGCCATCAACGGATGATTTTGCTGATGTATTTCCTGATCATTTTCAAGACTTTATGAATGCATTACCATTTAAGGAGTATACTACTCGTCAAGGTGTCTTAAATTTAGCTAATAGACTACCGACAGACATAAATCGTCCTGATCTTGGGCCCAAAATGTATAATGCTTACGGTTCTGAAGATGCTGATGGCGGAAATGGTACAACAAATCTTCATTTAGATATGACAGATGCCGTTAATATGATGGCTTATGCACCAAATGTCGAAAATAGACTTGAAAACGAACAACTCAAGCCATCAGCAGCTGTCTGGGACATTTATCATATTTCAGATCTACCGCGCATTCGTAGATTCTTGCGTAAAATTGCCAATGAAAGAGGCTTACTAATTGATAGTCCCATTCACGATCAATGTTTTTATCTGGATTCAACGTTGCGTAGTCGTCTTTTGCAAGAAGAAGGTGTTAGTGGTTGGAGAATTTACCAGAATCCTGGAGATGCAGTGTTTGTTCCTGCTGGTTGTGCTCATCAAGTGTGTAATTATACAAGTTGCATCAAAGTGGCTGTCGATTTTGTATCACCAGAAGGCGTGGGACGAAGTCTTATTATCAGTAAACAATTTCGTAAATTGTCTAGATCGCATAAAAGAAAGAAAGATATTTTGCAGCTTCCTGTTATTCTGTATCATGCCTGGACGACCTCATCTACTAAATAATACGTGATGATTAGAGAAACATAAGGACTAGTTCTTATAATAGTTATAGCCAAGTTAGCTATATCTCTTGTGCACTTGTTGGCAGCTCCTAATTTTAGAAATCTCCATGTCACCTCTCATCTTTTCCATCGCTTTATAGATTTAATTTCCATTGACTGAATATAACCAACCCTTTACAATCGTTGTTTTGAATAAGATTTTGTTCATAATTTGTTAAGTAAATTAGAATTTACATAAAAACATAGATTTACTCAATTACCGTGAAATAAAACAAGCAGTGTTATAATAAATATAATTTGCAATGTTGATTTATTATTCTAGAAATTATTTTTCGTAACTTTTAAAAACCACTGATAATCTATTGATTTACAATTTTACAAATCATAAATGCATTAAAATCTGTTTTAAAAAATTAAATTTTCAAAATAAAAAGATTTATGTTGAGCCTCACCGTATTTGTTATCTGTATCTTTGAAACAATGAGGAAGTTGAACATCATTAGTACGTAAGCCTCCCAATTTCAAATCAGAGATATTAGATAAATTTAATATTATAATCAGACATTTTTATAAAGTAAAACTCGTCGCTTTACTAATAAGCACAATTTTTAATGTGGGGTCTTTGCTAAGAAAATAATCCTCCGGGACCATGCACATTTGATAATTTTAAAATTGTTAGCTATCTAATTCTGATTTATATAAAATTCTTTTGTAGAGCATGGTAGTGACTACAAAACAAAAGAAATTAGATCATTAAATAGTAAATAAATTTTAAGTCACCCATTAAGTCTATATAGGCCGGATGGTTATTTTCCCAACAAGGACTCCATATATTTTTTAAAAAAAGTGCGAAACATATATAAAATTAAATGTTTGACCATAATAAAAAGACTAGATTTAACGACATGCAAAATTAATTGGTTTTTATAACCCGTCCAAGAAAAATTTTTTGTTTATAATTAACTTAATTACATCAACTACATTAAATACATATCTAAGTCATTGAACATAAATTTTTTTTTCCTTAAAGTTTTTTTTCGCCGAGATTTTATCGCTAAATTATATACTCTAAAATATTGTTCAAGAGGTCCCTGCGGTCGATTCCAACTCAATTTAAGTGCATCTTTGATCAAATCTCTTATAAATATTTCTTTTTCATGCAAATTATCGTTTAGTCGCTTATAGTCATTTATTACTGCAGTTAAAGCTCTTTTCATCCCTTCGACTGAATGGATAATATATGTTTTCTCAACTAATCCAACTAATTCAAATAAATAAGAATTATATCTATCAGTTATATTGTCAGTGCTTTTATTAACTAAAAATTCTTTTAATCCTCCTATACCCGTGCTAACAACTGCGGCTCCAAATAATAACCCTTCGGCTGCAACTAAACCAAAACTTTCAGTGAGACTGGGTACAAATTGTACATCTGCTGCAGCACGATATAAAACACCCCAATCATTCTGAAATTCCAAATCATCAATTAAATTAAAGTGTTTTGGGTACTTTGATTGAAGTTTTTGCAATTTATTGATTGGAAAATTATTCTGCTGACCCATAATAATCAATTTAGCATCAAGCGCTGCCAGAGTCTCAACCGCTGTAATAAAGAATTCTACACCTTTATTATATTGAAACCGACCGATAAATAAAAATATAGTCCTATTTACATCGTCAGCTTCTAAAAATCCCTCTTTTATCAACTGACTTTTAGCTTTAAATTTTGCATCAATAACAAGCTCCTGTGATGATGCATCGATTTGTTCCTCGATAAAACGCTCATAATCAAAAGTCATGATATTCTTTGGGAAATGTGAATCGGTCTCCAAGAGCATCATATCATCAAATGGGTTAAATTGAGTAAAATCCACACCATTGGTGATTCCAATCCAATGACCTTTTGATGCACGATGAAGAATACTCGGCATAATTAATTCCTTTGCACGAAAATCTAAAGATCCTTCTACCATTTCTTTTGCCATGGTTTCAGAAACAAAGGTTATTATTTGGGCTCTATCAATTGCAAGAGATGATGGATAAAATCGACGACCATGAATATAGTTTAAATATTCATCAATACTATTAATACCGTTATTTGAATTCTTGAACATTTTAAAGTTGACAAGTAGAGTTGAATATAATTGCTCTTCTAAATAATCATGCATAGTATAAACGATTGGAGGTGATGGTTTGCTATACTGGTCCTCATTATATAATTCTTTGAGAAAATCTACCACAAATGCATTCGTTGCTCCATGAAGATGCACAACGTCTACACCTCTATTATCAAGTCTGGCAAAAAGTGGTGTTTCCGCATACTTATCCAAGTATGTTATAAGTTCAGCAACTGCTTTACAAAAATATAAATTCATCCATTCCACAGGTAATCCTTGTGGCGCTGAATATATTTCAAGAGCACTAGATGCTTTAAAAGCCAAATCAAAAGGTGGATAATTTGTGGCGGGTCCAATTAAGTAAACCCAAATTTTTCGTAATTGTGGTGGATTATTGCTGAGGATATCAGGATTTTCGCTAACATTCCATAAAAACCTTAGAACGTTGAAGTTGACAGTTTTCCATTCACCATAACTATTTTGAATTTTAATTGATAAATGAGTGTAAGGTTCACACTTGTACAGTGTTCTTAAAAAACTATAAGATGGTATTATAACATTAATATTCAACTGGCTGTTTATAGATTGTCCCTGCGCCAAAGCTGTAACAACATGTCCTAACCCACCCATCGTAGCCGTCCCAAATTCTTTACTAACATGGTAAATTGATGAACCTTTTGGAAGAATTGGTTTTACATTTGGATGTAAACCTATATAAGGTTGTGGTTCAAAGGTTCTACTTTCTTATTTAAAGAAAGATAATGAATAAAAAATACATAAGTGTTCAATAGACAAAATAAAAAAAAAAGAAACCGATTTCAAAATAACCAACCAATAATTAATTCATCGCTCAAAAATATGTTTACAATAGTTGCTGATGTAATTATGAACATAATTCCGAATAAAGTAAAGAATGGCAGATATCTTCGTCCACTTCTCAAAAAAAATGGAATTGTATGCAAATTTCTTAACTTGCCATCATTATTTCGACGCATTTGCTCAGTTGAAAGACTATTTGTTGCGTTCATACTTTTGTCTAATTAAGCATTGTGAGAAAGTTGATTTGTCGAATCGAAAAGATTTGGTGCAACTGTCTTCAAAGGTTACACTCCGAAGACTCAGCTACCGATGGAGATGGTTACTCTGGCCTTTTTTTTGGATCAGTTCTTAATTTAACCGGGTACCGTGTAAAAGTTAGGAAGTCTAAAATAATCTACTCACGTTCTTTTCGGATGTCCTTTGCTATTTTGTATTTGTAGGAGGGTTAAAGTAAGTGCAACCAATGAAGAACATTCAAATATAATTTTATGTAGTGCAGCACACGTGCTAAGTATTATTAAACACAATATTTTTACAACTTTCATAAATTCAACACATTTTAAAGTATTTTGAATATTCAATAAAAAAACTTTCATTCTATATAAATATTTAAGATCGAATTGACAATTTAATTTCAGTTTTTTTCTTTTTTTTCTTTTTTTTCTAAGCGTTTGTACGTCAAATATAATTTGACATTGTATTGCTTTCGGAATTATAAAATTATAAAAAAAAAAAAAAAAAGCAATGAAGGAACCGATGTAAGATGTTGTGTTTACCACAACATATCAACGGATCCTTTGAAAGAATCTATGTACACGAATAACGAAAAGGCATATTCAAGAAAAAAAAAATTCAAAATGAAATCCGCAAATAAAGACAAAATTTTTTGAAATAAAATATCACACATCCAATTAAATTAATCATTAAATTAACCGTCATTGCCTTCTTCTTGCCAAGGGTCGTGATCAGCAGTTTCTTGTTCGTATTCAGCTCCTTCATCGTCAATATTTTCACTGCCCAACATTTGTGAATTATGATACTCAATGATCGTATTCGATTTTGTCAGGTCAATCAATTTTCCAGATTCAACAGCTCGAAGCCCCATTTGGCGTGCCTTTTGGAAAATTTGGATTCTAAATTGTTGTTTTATTATAAAATGTTAATTTGTTCAAATAGAAATGCTAGTTAGTCGAATGGTTTCAATCATCAATAACGCCTTTCTTGTATTGTTTAGTGAACCGAGTAGGACAGTTTGAACTGATTATCACCTCTTTCTAAAATGACATTATTTCGAACAAAAATCATGATAAAAATAATAATAACGTATACCTAGTTCTTTCAGGTTCGAATTCTTTGATAATTAATTCCCAGTCGCCGTTATGTTTATCGTAAGCAGCTTTTAATCGTTCTACTTCATCATCAGTCCAAAGTTGTCTTGGCGCTCGCCTATGTTTATGTCTTTGATTTTCGGAATTATAAGCCTCTTCACCGCTTATTTCAACATCATCCCCAATATGTCTTTTTAATCTTTTATTGCTATAATTTTGGTTGCCAACCGAATATCCACTCATGCCAGGAGCAAGCATACCACTAATTACCATTCCTGTCTCGTTGATTATTTGAAGAGGATCGATTCCCGGGGATGGTGCAGCCAAGAATAATGAGACATCGGTATCTTTTAAGAGATTTGAAATTCCTTGATAATATTCGGCATGTATTTCAAGACATTTTTTTTGCTAAGACGTAAAGTATGATCGGAAATCAAAGGTTTGATAAAATAAATTCCAGAACAGCAAATAAATAAATAAATAAATCAATAAATAAGTAAAACAAAGTCAAACTTTACAATTTTTATAAAACATGTGCATTCATTTCCTTCATTTAGAAAAGAAACAAAAACATACAAACTCAAAAAAGTTTTGAATGGTTTTTCTCCGAGGAATATGCATTCTATTATGATAAGTCTTATTAACTTTGAATTTGTAGGTTGTTGTAGGCGGTGATGCAGGTACGTTTTTGATGTCTTCAGTTGAGCTCATTTTTTTTTTGTTTATCTTTAGCAAGGTAATGCAGTAATGAAATTATAAAAAAATTACAACTGGACAACGATAGGAAATTAATGTTAGGGTTTAGTGTCTTCCAGGTAACTACGAATTTTTATATGTATTTACCGTATGTACGATTAGCGTTAGGCTGTCCTACATGGTTACAAATGGTATTACAGAAAAACAATAAATCTGATTGGATAATCAATAAATGACGAAGATACTGGTGATAAGTACCCATGTGATATTTAATGTTTGATTGATTATATTATTTCTGCATTTAGTCTAATTAGCGTTAAATAATCCAATAATACTGGCCAAATTTTTATAATGCCAGTATTTTACATTAATGAAACATAATTTACTGGACTTGCGCAAAATGTAATTTTCGTAACACCCAGGTACTGTATTTGCTAAACCACTTCCCCTATCGGATCGTGTGGATATTTCCATGGTGCAGAGCAGATAATACTATACGTATACCCTTGAATATCGTTATACGTAGGAACAATTAATACACTAACGAATAATAGGTGAGATAAATATATAATATGCATTACTACAGACCTATATATAAGCCGATAAGTATTTTGCAGGGGGAGGGTTAGACAAGACAAGACCACCCCCCTCAATTTTTTAAAAATCGTTTATAAGAAAAAAACATTAACCAATCAAATTGCAGCATTAGTTTTATTTCCACCATGAATCTTTGCGTTTATATAGCTGAAGTGAAAATCAGTAAATTTTCATGGTGGAAATAGGCGTTCCCTACGTAGAATTATTGATTTTTTATTTGTTTATTCAAAACTTAAAGCATGCCATTTATTATAGTTCCGAAATATTCCGAGTAGAAAATCAGAAAGAAAATTGAAGCAAAGTTCCGAAATATTCCGAAAGGTGCAAACAAGTACCCTAGCCATCCAGAAAAAAAAGTGGCAGACACGTGATTTTTCGAAATCTGGCCAATTAGATAGAAAGATC